CATTATTTCTACCAAAATATGATATTCTTAAAAAGCATTGATATAGCAGCTTTCTTGCTTTTCTCAATCTTTTTTTTTTTTTTTTTTTTTTGGTGTTATTAAGCAAATTCACATATTCAATTAATCCAGCTTACTTTACTTTTGATTTCTCATTCTTTTCAATGGGTCGTGTTACATGTAAGGGTTTATTTTTCTCTTGATTCTGATAATTCTGTTAATAAATTCAAATATTAATATTCCATCAATTTAAATATCAAATATGCCTTTCTACCAAATACGCCAATATCCTTCCAACAATTGGATCACGTTGAAATGGTGGCACACGTGCCTTATTATTTCTTAGCCAAAAAGTTACAGCCATCAGTTTCCATTAATTGGATCACGTGTTCAAGCATTCAACTTGGTTATTACCACTTTCATTTTTAGTCTCTTTCATATTCATATTGGGAGCATAGATTTGTTTTGTTATTTTGTTAGATGTCTTACAAAAATTTATGGATACATGATATCACACCATAACTACTAACATTAATAAAATAATTTCTCAAAAATAATAACACTAATAATAAAGAAAATGCTAATTTCCCTCTCATAATTTCTTAACTTTAACTTTTTTTAATATATGCAAACTCAACAAATATCAAAATTGAAATTGATAGTTTTAATAGCTGAAATTCTAAGTATATATAGTTAGATGGAATTTTATCATGTGTTAGTCATTGACCATGCATGTTGCCAAAACACGTAAATCAAACTTCTTAGAAAAGGCATTAATAAATAACATTTAAAAGTTAAAGTATATGCTGTAAGATGTATATGGTCAATAAATAATATTCTCTTTTATGAATTTACAAAAACAAACTTATTTAGATTCATGAATAAGACCATTAGTCAAAATATCATTTTATTTGATGCAATTTTTTATTTTTTTTTTTAATCTTATGACCATTATTAGTCAAAATTCTTACATTCAATTATATATGCAAATAAAAAAATAATAAATAAAGACAATGGCTTCAAGATAATTTGACATTTTACTTCAAAAAAAATAAATAAATAAAAAACATAACTCTTCGGAAAAAGATCCAACGCCCATTTATTTATTGATTAAGATAAATCTATTACATGGGACTCTTTTCAAATTGGTCTATGTTACATGTAAGGTTTTATTTTTCTCATAATTATTGATTATCATAAATCTTGTCATGTTGATGTCAGAAATTCATCGATTCATCATTTATGATCCTAATAAATTCAACAATAATGTTACGTCTACGATTAATTGGCAATTTCAACTTATTTGATACGTTGAGATTATGAAAAAAGTTTGTGAGATTGATTATAGATGTAACATTATTCTAAATTCAAATAAATTTCCAACAATTTAAAGTTTGAATATAGTCATTCTACCGATACCAGATATCCTTCCAATAATTGGGATCACATTGAAATGGTGATAGACATAGTGCCTTATTATTCTTAGCCAAAAAGTTACAGCCATCAGTTTCCTTAATTGGTATCACTGTTCAAGCATTCAACTTGGTTATTACTACTTCATTTTTAGTCTCTTTCATATTCATATTGGGAACATCATCGTTTTTGTGAAATGGAAGATACAACAGCGTGATTTGTGAAATGTGAATGACCCTAATCCCACCACGCAACATCAACTAACAGCTTAACCAGTAGCCCCGGAACGGCTAATTGTACTTTTGTGCATCTAGCCTTTTCTTAGCGCAATCTACACTTTTATTTATCCTTCCTGGAAATTATTAAAGCTCATCTCTCTAAATCCAATAAGAATACGACATTGTAAAGAATACAACTTAGGATAAATACTGAAATTTGTGTAACACATATTTTCTTAGAACAGATTCATCTTCCTCACTTGGGTAATAAGAATTTAAATAACGTTTGTTTATCAAATATAACGATAGATGAATAGCAGAGAAACACCAGTTTTCTATTCTAACCAATTGAATTAAACCTTAACTTTAATAAAAGATAAATTGAATTTTGGTGTGTTTGAATAAGAGAAAAGACACTTTCTTATACTATTCAAAGTGGGACAAACATTAAATGTCACCATTATTTTCAATCTTTTCATTTCCAACTTTAAAACCTCCTTCATTAATCTATTAACATTTCATCTTTCAACTCCTAATTTACATTACCATTTTCATTCCATTTATTTTATTGCATTCATTAAAATATTCCAACAAATATATGGTTATGTAAATTCCTCAACCAATTTACTGCTAATCACATGCACAACCCACAAATAACACACACAACAGAAACAAATCAAACCAATCACAAGACACCTAATATACCGTGGTTCACCTTTCACAAGGAAAGATTACATCCACGTTGAGCTCCAAGAATTTTTGGAGCTCACTGCCTAGGAATCACTGTTATTCAGATTACAAAAACACTCTCCAAGATTCACCCAACTATCAATCTTAACCCGCTCACTCAAATCTGAAAACTATAGAGAATACCTGATCCAGCTTCTCTAAACCTGAGAAAACACACTTCTCACCCAAGATTATACAGATTTCACAACCCAAAAGATTGACAACAAACTACCAAAGCTGCGAGCAAAAACTGATCTGTCGTGAACACAAAGAGGAAGCAATTTTTTCAGTTTTGCGCACAGACTCTACTTTATATAGTTTGACTTCAGAGCTAACCTGGCCGTTGGATCTTCTTTATTTCAGGGCTGAGATCTTTTTCCCATTTGTAGGAAACGACAGTGTTTTGATAATGATTCTACAGAACTGTAAAAAACGGGCTTTGCGCTTCAAATATACAAACTCTCCACCTTGAAGCTCAAACTTTACAACCAATTTCCTAAGTGCAGCTAACCTCCTCAACTCTCTTCATAGCTTGTTGCTGCTCGACTTGACAAACATAGGTTCAAGCATGCTTAACTTGGACAGTGACAATCTTGGTACCCATATCAGAGGATTATCTTCAGTTGGGACTTTCTTCAAGATGATCAATCCTTGGCAACAGATCTCTGACAAAGAGAATCTGACATCCACTGTTTGGTCCTTCATGTAGACAGATTCTTGCTCAGGTGAATGGCGCTTTGGCTGTGAATAAATTGTGCTACTCCATCATCAAATTCACTTCAATTAGTATTCCTGGAGCCACAGTGCTCCTTGAATATACATCAACTCCACATACTCTGCCTCAGTTGAAAACAAAAAAACTGTATTTAAATTTTATATAAATGAACCCTTATTTATTCTTTACATGTTAACATTGAGTTTCTTTAACATGTGCCCTACAAATGGATCAATTTTTTATCATATCAGTAGATTATTTTTTTTTTTTTCCATTTTGTAAATAAAATGCATCAAAATATAAAAAATTGCTTGTTTTTTATTTTAATGTATACTGATATAATTTAAGACAATACTGTTAACATTCTGATCATTCTAATTATATAGGATATAAAATAGTACTAAAATAACAGGAGATTGGTATCATTTGGTTAAATATGGGGAAAGATCTACCTAGCGGTTTATTAGTCAGGCAACGTACAGAGATGACCATGTATCATATTTCTCTATCGATTTGAATTTGTCATTTATACCACCGGAATATGAACAAATAAATTTGGACCATTTTTCCAATTACTACTAAGGATTCAAGGAATTTTAATATGGGCTCATAAACTTGTTCGAAGAGTACAAAGATTTTATAAGTATAATAATACTCGAAACAAATTTTATAAGATGCTTTATATAGATGTCCATTCCAATTTTCCAATATTGTTTTGGTTCTTATTCTCTTCAAAAATTTCTAAATTTTTCCATTGCTTTCTTTTTTGTTCTTCTTCTCACAAAAATTTAAAATGCTTAAAGATAGATCTTGCTATTCTTGCCAAAATGGCAGGCAAGGAAGAGAAAAAGAGCCTAGTGGTAAAGGAAGTCACGTGGGCAGCGTGCATGAGACAGAAGGTTTCGAACTTTCGATTCAAGATGATACGAGATGCTTGTATTAATTTGTCTTACAGATTTATATAGAAAGAGGAATAAAGGAAGGAAAAATAAGAAGCAAGTCATCGGGAAAATCAAGTTGAAGATGGAGGGAATTGGAAAGATTGTAGTTGATAGATGGTGGAGAGCGAGCAAGAACCAAAATCATCATATAAGGCTACTAGTAACCAAAGCACCCAACCGAGCAGCTGTACACTTCCCGTCACCGAAACAATCAACGTACGTTTCATTTGATTTAGCTTTACCAATATTTGATATTATTTTCAAAATGGAGTTTTTGTTTTATATGGCTTTCTGTTTGCAGAAAGAAGAAGCTGAAAAGGAGATCGATAAAGAGAGAGAAAAAAAAATTAACAAGCGGCAAGAAGCGGAGCAGACACTGGACTCTCATATCAACCACTCCGATCTGATCTCTAATGACAAAGCTACCTAGCTTTCGTAAAGATATATTTAATGTTTCTGCCTTGTATAGTTGGGTTGGACCATACAAGTAGTAGAATTTCTTGATTATACATTATGTGGTGCAAACTGCAAATGTTAAAGTTAGCATATAGTCTATAAAATCCAATGTGAATTTAATAAAATTATAAATGTAACTAAGAATTCTCTCTGTTAACCCATTCAAAGGTTAGTATTGTCTTCAATCTCGAAACAGATAGATTGTACAGCCTTTATAAATATCCCACATTCCCACCAGGCCACCACAATGCAAAACTGATAACACCATAGCAGCTTTCAGCTTTAGTGCAGAATAAATAAATATAAATTTCATTGATTTTAATATTTGGACTCTTTTTTCGAGAATTCTTATAATAACTATAAATGATATACGAAGATAATCACATATTCTTCTTTAAGAATTCATGACTTTCCATAAATCTTGATATTTATTGGCTTAAAAATGTATAAAAGGCTTGTGTCCATCAAGGTTCAAGCTTCTAAAAGACTAAAAGTCAGACCATATTCTGTAAGTTTGAGTTATTATTCTTGTGAGAAAATAACTTTTCATAAGATAAAAATCTATAAATGTTAAAAGGTACAATCTAATTCACGGTTTGGATGCTCCCAACATATAGCATCAATAAATAAGATACTATATACTACAAGTTAAGAACATTCTCCCGGCTTTCAACTTTTGCAGCAGCAGCAGCAGCTCAAACGCCTAATATGGCACAAAATCTTCTACAGCCTGTTCCCGTTCAGCTGATATCATACACGTCTTCGCTTCAGAGATGAGAGGGAGCTTCCAAAACAATGCAGATCCCTTCCATCTCCATTTTATAATGCCCCATAAGAAAGCGAAATGGCATGAAATGGTTCAAAGAACTTTGCCTCTTTAAAGAGTTGTACCATATGTCTCAAATTATGAGCTTTCAACAAATAGCGATCAGTTCACCATCCATAGGAACTGGTAATTGAACAAATATCATTTCCACTGATAGCATATTCATTTATATGTAAGAAAGACAAATAAAGGTGAATTTCTCTAGAGAATATCTGGTTAGGATCATGACACCATATCCAATCTTATATCCAGAATTTGGAAGTCACTACAAAATCACTCAAATGGGAGATATTATCTCATTTAATAGCTTTGAAATATTTGCTTTCTCTTGAAGTTCTTATAACAGAAAACAGCTATCCCTGACGAAGAAAATGCAATCCATTCAACAAAATCTTGTAATTCTTGTCACCCATAAGCACATCCCTTCTACGAAACTCCTCAAGCAACTCAAAACCCTCATTACTCCTCCCTTCCCTACACATACCATCTAACAAAGTTTTATACGTTAACAAATCCGGCCCCATACGGTTCCCCAACATATCAAACATAACCTCAATTGCATCCTCAAATCTCCTCTCAATTGCAAGACTACAAATCAAAATCATATAACAAGTACCACTTGCCACCAACCCCTTCTCCTTCATTTCCTTATAAAACCCTAAACCCTGCCCCACCCTCCCCTTTTCACTCAACCCCTTCACAACATACCCATACGTATATGCATTGGGCTCACATCCGTACAACCCCATCTCCCGAAAAACCCTTATAGCTTCATCCACCTGAAGACACTTAGCATAAGCCTTAATGATCAGATTCAACGCGAACGTGTCAGGTACAACTCCTAATGATTTCATTTGCTTCGTTAAAGACCTAACCCCATGCAAATAAACATAACAAACATTCAACTTATTGAACCTCCTAAGCAATGAATTCAACAACAAAGTATACGTCTCAAGCGTGGGCTTACAATTCTCTGATTTCAGCATTTTCTTGTACACATCAAAGGCGCGATTAAATAACAGGTTGCGACCGCAACAGAATTTAATGATGCAATTATATAAAGGAATAGACATTTGACAGTTACCAGCAATGACTTCTTCGATTAGGGTTTCGGTTACACGGTATCGCTTTCCGGAGATTAAAAGCTTGATCATTGTGTGGTAGGTCTCGTAGTTGTGTCTGTATCCGTGTTGCTGGGCCGTCCATCGGAAGATGTCGAGGGCGAGATCGGGGTCTGATTGGGCTCGCAAGGCATAGACGACGTCGGATGGGGTGAAGCCGGGTTTGAGGTGTTGGATCCAGGTTTCGAATTGTTTTTCAAGGGGAGTTCGGGTTCGGGTAGGATTAACTGGGTTGAGTGAGGAAGAGAAGGAGCGATGGTGATAGAGTGACCGATGAGTTGAGGGAAGTAGAGGTACGTGGAGAGAGGAGAGAAATTTGGAGTGTTTGAGAGCAGAGTTAAGAAGGCGACGGAAGGTCAGGGACATTATTACAGACTGAATATGGGAAAAGAAGAGGGTAGCATAATGAGCTTAGACACTACCGACGACGGCGAGAGATTTCTATGCTGGGCTTTTACCGCCTCGGCCCAATAGTATGCCCATTAAAATGGGCTGCTGACAATACCCAGACGTAGGTAGAGTTTGGGTTAGTTCAGTTGAGGCCGTATAGTGATACTCATTTTCGATTGAAATTCAAGTTTAATGAAGAAGATTTATCGAGAATCTTGACGTCTTTTTCTTGTGGGTTTTGCGTTTGGGGCTTGTAGGTCATGATTGTGACGCATAAGCATGAAAGAATGGCAATTGGCATCATGACATATTAGTTTTCTTGGCGGATAATGACTGTATGTGAAGATTCCATTTCATAAGAGTTAATGTAAGGTACCGCCAAACTTGGAAATAGGACTTAGCGTTCCGAGAATAATTATATATCACATCGATAATAAATAAATAGAAAACGGATATATTGTTCAAAGTTAAGGGTCACACATTGTTAAAATACTCAAGAGTAGTATTGAATCTCCAGCTATGAGTATGAGTTGTAATGTTATGGTCCATAAGATGGGAATATATAATCTAACGCCTCATCCTTTTTGTCTCCTAGTTGAAATAATAATAGAGTTAAGGACATGTTACCACCCAACAAATGCCCATTGAAATTTTCCCACCATCAAACTTTTAAAACACTCTTTTACTACTCAAATATTAGGCTATCCTCTGATTGAGGTGGGAAACAAAATAATTTACTAAAAACCCCTTTCTTTTTTCTTCTCTTTTCAACCTTTTCCATTGTCGGCATTGGAGAGTGTCGATGACCAGAAAATTAACAAACAAACATTCTTCAATTTTATTTCAACCCAACAAACACAAACATTGTATGAATCAAATCCAATTAAAACTCAAAAAACCCTAAGGTGAGGAAGCTTCAATCGCTGACAATTGGTGAGCAAACAGGATTGGGAATGTTCGAGCTTTTGGAGAGGAAGATTCAAGGAGTCGATTAGTGGTGGCAGGGACACGATTTTCGACACAAAAAACAATCGAAAATCTTACTTGAAGAGTCGATCATGCAAATGGAGGTGGTGGTGGAAAATGGTGAGTGATGACGACAAATGGAGGCTTGAGCTTTGTAGAGGAGGTGATGTGGATTCTTTAGGTGGTGTCGGAAGCGATTTTGAACGCTGGAATAGGTCGAAAAATGGCAAAAACCCTCCTAATCTGACGTTGCTAACTCATGCCATCTTCTGCTAACGTGCACCGTTCTTCTTCTCCGACAACCACTGTTTGGTGACCATTATGCCCTCATTAATTATGGACTTTTGACCATTTTACCCTTTCTGACAACAAAAATTACTAATAAAATTATGTTTAGGGTACTGAAATGGTATTTAAAATGTGGGTGGGTATGAATTTGTCGATGGGCTATTTTTTTGGGTGGGAACATGTCGATAACTCATAATAATATGATGATCGTATTGTCAGAATTTAATAACTTTAAATTATATGTCTAATTACCAAACTAGAAGCATATGTGTTGATGAAGAATAAACTGACATTATCTGCTCAGCAAGTTCGCAAGTTTTAAAATTTGTTGGGTATGCGCTTGCAAATCATTTTGACTGCACCAATTCGATGATAGAATTTGAAGTAGATCTGACTCCTCACTCAATAAGACCTTGTTGAATGGAAGGATTACGCCCTCTTATAACCCAATAGGTTTGAGCATGTCTAGTCGATGTGAGACTCTAACACTCCCTCTCACGGTCAAACCCATATGTTGGGTCATGCTTGTTAATGGAGGTAGTTGTTGGCTCTAATTCCTCATCCGCTGGTCAAACACTCTGACCAACTAAACTTGGGCTATGATATTATGATATAATTTGAGGCGGGTCAGACTCCTCACCCAATAAGGCTTTGTTGAATGGAAGGATTATCCCCTCTTATAATCTAATAGGTTTGAGCGTACCTAATCGATGTGAGACTCCAACATCCAAGAGTTTTAGACGCTAATAAGTTTTTGCAAATTGAATTTCATTAATTTCTACCAAAAATATGATATTCTTAAAAAGCATTGAGATAGGCAGCTTTCTTGCTTTTCCAATCTTTTTTTTTTTTTTTTTTTTTTGGTGTTTTTATTAAGCAAATTCACATATATCAATTAATCCAGCATTACTTTACTTTTGATTTCTCATTCTTTTCAATGGGTCGATGTTACATGTAAGGTTTTATTTTCTCTTGATTCTGATAATTCTGTTAATAAATTCAAATATTAATATTCCATCAATTTAAATATCAAATATGGCCTTTCTACCAATAACGCCAATATCCTTCCAACAATTGGGATCACGTTGAAATGGTGATAGAACAGTGCCTTATTATTTCTTAGCCAAAAACAGCCATCAGTTTCCATTAATTGGATCACGTGTTCAAGCATTCAACTTGGTTATTACCACTTCATTTTTAGTCTCTTTCATATTCATATTGGGAGCATAGATTTGTTTTGTTATTTTGTTAGATGTCTTACAAAAAATTTATGATACATGATATCACACCAATACTACTAACATTAATAAATAATTTCTCAAAAATAATAACACTAATAATAAGAAAATGCTAATTTCCCTCTCATAATTTCCTTAACTTTAACTTTTTTAATATATGCACACTCACAAATATCAAAATTGAAATTGATAGTTTTAAAGCTGAAATTCTAAGTATATATAGTTAGATGGTAATTTTATCATGTGTTAGTCATTGACCATGCATGTTGCCAAAACAAGTAAATCAAACTTCTTAGAAAAGGCATTAATAAATAAACATTTAAAAGTTAAAGTATATGCTGTAAGATGTATATGGTCATAAAATAATATTCTCTTTTATGTAATTTAACAAAAACAACTTATTTAGATTCTGAATAAAGACCATTAGTCAAATATCATTTTATTTGATGCAATTTTTTTATTTTTTTTTTAATCTTATGACCATTATTAGTCAAAATTCTTACATTTCAATTATATATGCAAATAAAAAAAATAATAAATAAAGACAATGGCTTCAAGATAATTTGACATTTTACTTCAGAAAAAATAAATAAATAAAAAACAACTCTTTCGGAAAAAGATCCAAACGCCCATTTATTTATTGATTAAGATAAATCTATTACATGGGACAATTCTTTTCAAATTGGTCTATGTTTACATGTAAGGGTTTATTTTTCTCATAATTATTGATTATCATAATCTGTCATGTTGAATGTCAGAATTCATCGATTCATCATTTATGATCCTAATAAATTCAACATAATGTTACGTCTACGATTAAAGTTGGCATTTCAACTTGTTGATACGTTGAGATTATGAAAAAAGTTTGTGAGATTTGATTATAGATGTACATTATTCTAAATTCAAATATTAAAATTCCAACAATTTAAAGTTTGAATATAGCCATTCTACCGATACGCAGATATCCTTCCAAATTGGGATCACATTGAAATGGTGATAGACATAGTGCCTTATTATTTCTTAGCAAAAAGTTACAGCCATCAGTTTCCATTAATTGGATCCATGTTCAAGCATTCAACTTGGTTATTACTACTTCATTTTTAGTCTCTTTCATATTCATATGTGGAACATCATCGTGTTTTGTGAAATGTGAAGATACAACAGCGTGATTTGTGAAATGTGAATGACCCTAATCCCACCACGCAACATCAACTAACAGCTTAACCAGTAAGCCCCGGAACGGCTAATTGTACTTTTGGCATCTAGCCTTTTCTTAGCGCAATCTACACTTTTATTTATCCTTCCTGGAATAATTAAAGCTCATCTCTCTAAATCCAATAAAGAATACACATTGGGATAAGAATACAATCTTAGGATAAATACTGAAATTTGTGTAACACTAATTTTCTTAGAACAGATTCATCTCCTCACTTGGGTACATAAGAATTTAAATAACGTTTGTTTATCAAATATAACATAGTGATACAAGAACACCAGTTTTCTATTCTAACCAATTGAATTAAACCTTAACTTTAATAAAAGATAAATTGAAATTTTGGTGTGTTTGAAATAAGAGAAAAGACACTTTCTTAACTATTCAAAGTGGGACAAAACATTAAATGTCACCATTATTTTCAATCTTTTCATTTTCCAACTTTAAACCTCCTCATTAATCTATTACATTTCATCTTTCAACTCCTTAATTACATTACCATTTTCATTCCATTTATTTTATTGCATTCATTAAAATTCCAACAATAAATGTTATGTAAATTCTCAACCAATTTACTGCTAATCACATGCACAAACCCACAATAACACACACAAAAGAAACAGACAACCAATCACAAGAACCCTAATTTACCGTGGTTCACCTTTCACAATGGAAAGATTACATCCACGTTGAGCTCCAAGAATTTTTGGAGGCTCACTGCACTAGGAATCAACTGTTATTACAGATTACAAAACACTCTCCAAGATTCACCAACTATCAATCTTTAACCCGCTCACTCAAATCTGAAAACATAGAGAATACCTGATCCCTTCTCTAAACCTAAAAACACACTATCTTCACCCTAAGATTACAGATTCTCAACCCAAAAGATTGACAACAAACTAACAAAGCTGCGAGCAAAAACTGATCTGTCGTGAACACAAAGAGGAGCAAAATTTTTTTTCA